AGTAACTCTTCTTGAAGAAGATATTATCCTTAGATCAACAAAGGTGACTTCAAGCCTTATCAAAATTCTAGGTCCCTTATAACCTAATTAATACTAAGCTACAAGTAGTTAATACCTAGTCTCAAGATAAAAAAATAAAAATTGTTACTAGTCTAAAAATGCTAAGCTTACTAATAAAGAAAAACTTGCTCCAAGTCATAAAAACTTTATTAGGCAGTAATATAAAGTAAGGAACAGAATACAAAAAGAACTAAAAAAGTAACCAAATACTCTATAATCTGAGTTAGGCTTAAAAATTTTAAGTTGTGCAACTTGTAACCTATCTCAAAAATTTCTCTTCCTAATATACAATCCAATTTCAGAATTTAGAACCTGTAGTACTAAGTTCACATAACAGACTAAACAATAAACAAAGTATATAACTCTGTAAAAACAAAATACGTGACTTTGCCAAACAATGTATATAGCTTTGTTTACTGTATGAGGTTGCATATCTACAAAGTTTTTTAAAAATAGAAGGAATAAACAATACTAATCTATTGGAGGAGTGAATCTAGATTCCCTACTTTTTGTCAAAAAAAAGAAAGACTAGAGTGAAAAAGCTTGCAGTATATTATTGTTTTCTAAGTTTCAAGAGAGTGTATAGACAAAATAATTTATTGTTTCTCTACTTCGTAAGTCTTCTTTTAACAACTTTGTTAACAAAGAGCATCTTTTCTATCTTTTTACTAAAATTTTTCATACAAAGGCACCACCTGCTAGTTATCTTGTTTAATATCACTTTTAGCTTGTATGTTAAATATATAGAGGAGTCTCTAAAAGCAGTAGTTGACTTCTATAAAAACTGTTATATTATAAAAGAACCTTTTTTTTTGTTATCTTTAATAAATTTTTGTTTTGGCTTTTTCAGATTTTTTAGAAAAAAGGATCATTAGAAAGAGTTCTTTTTAAGACTAGTATTACAATTTTCTATATTCTTATTTATTCTGCAATTTGTTTTTTTCTTTGTAGATCTATCTTTTAGATCATTTTTTCTTTTTTCCTTCTATATGTATTTTTTCTTTTTGAAGATTTTTTTTTTTTCTTCTATACTTCTATATCTTTGTATCAATTTTTCTATACTTCCTTGTAAACTAGTTCTATTCAAATATGCTAGAACAGACTTCAAAATTTAGTTGTAATACTTTCAGAGCCATTGATAGTTTTTATTTTTTTAGTATTTTCTTCACTAAGAATATCTTTTATCTATTATTTTCTCTTTTGTTATTTTATTTTCTGTTTGTATTAGATAGCTTGGTATATACTCATTAGAACTTAATTTTCTTCTTTCTTTTTATCTTTGTAAAGCTGTTTTTATACTTTTTCTTTAATCTTTTCAAGTACTTGATATATTGTTTCACAGGTAATCAGATATCTGATTGTTTTTTTTTTCTTAGAGTATCTTTTGCATAAATTATTTATATATAATTATAGCTGTCTACAGTTTAGATTTTAATAGTTAGAAGAAGATTTTTAATATATTTGATTTTGAACAATCATAAGTAGTTTACTTCAGAATTTTGATATTGTTTATAGTAACTTTCAAGTATACTCTTGAAAGCTTTATAATTCTGTTTTTGAATTTTTGTTTGGTGTTTTATATTATTTTTCTTTCTTAACTAGATCTATTCTGCTTTGTATATTGTTTGAACTACCTTTTTAATAAAAGCTTTTAGCAGAGTCTCCAAACTTAGCTTTTTCTATTTAGAAATATACTTAATACTATTGTTACTAATATTGTTTAGTTCTATACTTTTTGCTTTGTATGATCCTTCCTTTGCTAGTATATCTGCAAAGTTTTTATAAGTATCTTCTAAGTAACTTTTGACTTTTGTGAATATTAGCTAAACTGATTTGCTTTTGCAAACTTTTTTGATTATATAAAGAATATTATTGTTTTTAGACTTCAACTACTTACATATCTTAATTGCAAAAACTGCTACTAGATAAGCTACTAGCTTTGTATGAGTAGATAAGAATCAATATTCTATTTTTTCTTTATAACTAAAAACTATATTATTTGCACTATCTATTTGAACTATACTAAATTCTATTCTTATTTTGTTTTTGATATCTTCTCTACTGAGTAAGCTATTTGTATAAAATACTATTTTCTCCTCTTCTCTATTTACCTCTAGTCTATTTTTTAGCTCTTTCCTAATTCCTATATCTTGAATAACTTGATTAATTAACTTTGCTTTCTAGCTACTTTCTACTTTAACATACTCTAGATTTTGAATTTTTTAAACTCTTCTACTTTGCTTTTTTAGTTTTCTTTCCTATTTTTTCAAGTACTTTCTATTGAATACTATCTTTAATATATTATCTTTTTTTTATATAAAACTTGAGATATTGTAGACTTCTTTTAATACTATTCTTTGTCTTTGGCTATTTTTCCTTAGTTTGTTTTTTTCTTTATATATTTCTTGTTAATTATATTCTTTACATAAGTTTTCTTGATCTTCTTTTCAGATCTTTACTTCTACAAGCTTCTTTTTCTTCCTAATAATATGACCTATTTTATTTTTTATATTTTCTTTATCTTTTATAAGTACTATTTTTTTTCTGTTTGTTATATAAGATTTTTTTCAATTTCTTGTACTTGAAAACCTCTTCTTTTTAAGTATTCTTTAGTTACTTCTTTTGATTTTGTATCTTCTAAGATTTTATTCTCTAGAGTTTAAAACTAGTTTACTTTTCTTCTAACATGTCTTTTTCCTTTTCTTACTTTGAGTTGTCTTCAAGTAATTATTTTTTCTTATTTATTGTCTAAAAGCTAATTTACATACTATAAATTAAGCTTATTTATATCTTTTTGCACTTCTTTTAAATTGCATTTATTAAGAATATTGCTAATGAAAAAATTTTTTTCTTCTTACAATTTTATGAAATTCCAATTTGCTATAAATTCATTTTTTGTGATATTTAAACCAAATCTTTTTGCATGTTGTATTATTGTAGTTCCTAGATTTCTATGCATAAAAAGTTGAAAAAAATTAGTTTTTATAAAAAAATTTTTTGATAAGGTTTTGGTATAAGTGATATATAAATTGAGTTTTTTATAAGCACCTTAATTTCTATATTACTAAATTCTAACAATAGATACAATTCTGTTATAATAGTTAAATTGATATTATAAGAAATTATTATTTGTTTATTCTTATTAATTATACAAAGATAAATACAATATTGTTTATTAAATAAAATAAATAATTCTATGTACCGTAGTGCACTGACTAAAAGACCTCCCCCCCCTTTGTAAAATACCCGGGTGTAATATTCGGTGTAAAATTATGTAATTCTGGTAAAATTCTAAAATTTTAGCCTAGTAACGGTCAAAATATCCCGAGTCATTTAGTCAGTGCACTACAGTAATTATCATAAACTGTAATTCATACAATTTTATTTATAAAATTTTCTGGATTTTCAATAATATTATTTTGTAACTTTGATTCCCAATATTTTCTAGCTTTTTCCATAGATTCAAAGTATCTAAAAGGCAAATGATTTCTAAGAAATCCAGGTGTAAAGTAATCAAATTTTGAAGTTACTTTATAATTTATAGCAAAAGGATTCTTAATTGGATTACAACGATTAGTAGAACCATCAAAATGATCAGAAAAAATAAAAAGAGCATCCCAACCTATAAAACCAAGTCCTTGTTTAATAAATAAATTTTGAACTTCAGGACCATAAAGATGACGTTTAGATCTAGGTTCTGCACCACTTTGATAAAATCGGACTTCATCACCAATATTAATATAATTGAGTAGATTAATTTTTGAAAGAAAAAGACCTAAATTTGGGGTATGAAAACCAGCAGGATATCTAGGAACAATATCATTATCATTGACAACTCTCCAAAAATTTCTATGTGAATTCGAATCATTGTTCATAAGAGATTGAAATCCTGCAGCAAAATCACTATTTCCAAGAACTGGAGAAGCAAAGCTCATCCCGTCACGGATATCAACATGATCACCTAAACAAGTTGGTGATTCTAATAATCTAGCGTAAAATAATGTAGCCAGAGCACCACCTAATGAATAACCTGAAACCCAGACATTAACTTTTTGAGATGTTCGCTTATAGATCTCATCCGCCTTATCACGTACTGCTTTAGCTAATCTTAAAGCTGGACATTGTTTTAACGATTTTACTGAGGAATAAGAATTATCATTAAAAAGGCTTGTATAGTATCCATAGTGAACTTCTCCAAAAAGAAATGATCTTAAGTAAAAAAAAGAAAGTTGCCAAATCAATATCTAATTATGAATTTAATCATTTTGAGCCCAATAAAATTCAAGATCAGGTGAACGTGAAATCAAAACAAACTCCTTCGCATTAGACTAGGATGAGAGCTAAGACCGCATTATGGTTAGGGAAAGGCAATAATAAAGACCCAAAATTTTTTAATGAATTTTTTTAATAAGAACGTAAAAGGAGTTTCATAGCGAAATTGAGTTATAACCGATTTTTTAAAAAAATAGCTATCGCTATTTTTTCTAATTTTCACATTAAACCTGATCCTTCAATTTAATTGGTTAGCGTTATAACGCGGCGCTAAATTACATAACTCTTTTTTTATCAGTTATATAGTAGCATGTAACAATTTGAAGAATATAAAATTTTACCTCGCATCAATTCTTTGAAGACTGAAATTAGTTAACCATTCTCCCAAATTTAAAGGATCTGTTCCCTTAAAAGAAACGATGATAAAGTTTTGTGTCTAATGATATTTGAATTGTTGACAATAAAAACCATAAAATTAATTATTTAAATAGAATATTGTCAATATATATTTATAATGAAGAGTATGAATAATATATACCTCAGACCAAAATAAAGCACCATAGGGACCTCCAACTACATTACATTCAGTAATAGAAGCAAATTCCAGACCAAGTTTCTTTGCTTGTTCTCTAATCGGATCTTCACTTTTACGAAGTTTGTCAGTAATTTTCTTAATTACTTCATTATTAGCATTATTAGGAATTTTCTTTAAACCAAGAACCATTTTTTCAGCTTCATCAACAAGGGTTGAATCACGTTCTTGCATTAAAACAGATGTATAAAATAGCAGTTCTGCTCTATTTATATTAAAGTTGGGATGCTTTACATCATTCAAAAGAATTTCAGGATTGTCCAAGGAAACAATTCCTGCACGTAAATTTTCAACTTTTTTTTATATAAAACAATATTTATTAATAAATGGATTTAAATTTATTAAGAGGTAGTTTGTCTCTGAAGGGTATAAAAAAATAGTAAATTTCATAGTAAAAAAAAGTCGAAACCTAATATAATGCAAGGCTTACATATAAAATTATTCTTTTTTTACCAAGTAAACCTTTCTGATCTACTAGGTAAAGTTGTAGTATCGTTCGAGTAGTATAAAAACATCAAAAAACGGTCCAATAGATACTAAGGTATTAGTATTTTAAATTTTTTTACTATACGATTTTTATTATTGTAAAAAAAACTTTTAGCATCCATCTATATATGAAAGTATTAGTATTACTGCGCCGATTTTTACTATGAAATTTTAACTGCGGACTACCCCTTAAATTTATTTAATAATGTATTTTTTTACGTGACTTACCTATATCACTGTTAGTAAAAGAAGACCATGTTTCAATTACTGTTTTAGTTTCTGGAGGATTTAACGATTGAATAAATTTTATGAATTTTAAACCTATCTCAAAGAAAAATACAAAGATAGTAAACACTGGAAGGATAATAAAAGTGATTAAGAATTCTAATGGGTTAGTGACAGGTAATGTAATATTAAATATTAAAGTTAAGAATAAATAAACTACAATGCGTTTAAAGTAAATTAAATAAGTTAAGGTTTGATAAACTACAGGTATCCGACTTACAAAGGGGCTTAAGATCGGGTTAGGAGTATTAACCAGATCAATACAATGAATAAGTTGTTCATGTGATATTGAATTTTCTTTATCATTATCACCTAAATTATCGATAACAACATCGTTTGTTTGAACCATGTTTTAGAGTTGTATGATTAAAAGAAATAAAAGTTGAAAAATGAAAATGGAAGAAACTCCGAAAGGATTCATTCCGCTTATATTCTTTGAAATCATGCATGCGTTGTTTTCATAAGAATACTTATTAGGTAAAGGGATTTTTGATGAAATTTTGTATTTTTTTAGCTAACATGTGAAATTTTCCTGATTTTCGTTCATTTGCACGATTTTAAAATGATTTATTATTTGCACAGTCACAATAATATGTAATAGGAGAAAAAATTTTAAGATTGTACTTGTATTTCTACATTTCTCAAGTCAATACATACATGTATTCACACTTATTATTTAAGCTTTAATTCGACGGAAAATCGTGCAACTTTGGTTTCATTATAAATTTTGCAAGTCAAATATCATTTCCGAATTACTTCATTTAAGAATCAAAAAAGTCAACCCGAGCAACCGGACAAAATCCCGAAAAGGTCAAAATTCCCATTAGGGTTAGCATAGATGAAATTTATTATGAAATTTTATAATACCCGATCGTAATGGTTTTTAATCAATAATTTCATCTAATTCATGTTCATACTGGTTTTATCTTTACTTTGATTTCGTCGATTATAATCCTCAATGTAGCTTCGAAATATTAATAAAAATCATGATTGGAATTATAACATGTTATATTTTTTTTCTTAGCGCCTACTCTTGTAATATATTTATTAGAGGGTTTCAAAATTAACTTAGTCCCAAAATAAGTAGGGCTTAAAACATTGTAAAATGTGAAATATGTAAAGCCATTTGAAGTTTATTCTTCGGTTAACGTGACCCCCGGCCACCCTCAAAAACGAACAAGCCAATCACAGCATTGTGATATTGTTGTCCAAAGGTATTGTTAGATCCGGAAAACCGTTGTTACTATTGTAACTGCGCTTAAACATTTACCCTATTATTACTTTTTATACTTTTATCTCCATATTTATCTACCGATATACTTACCTTTATTTCCATTTATAGATTAGTTCCCTATATAGTTATTATTATTCCACATTATCTTTATTCGTACAAGATCTATTGTAATACCGATACCGTTGGATCATCTTTTGTTTAATTTAGTATTCGATAATCCATAGCTTGTATTTCTATATTAGTCCCGGGTTATAGTTTTAGATCTTTAGCCTACGTGTTAGTTATTATTGAGAGATAGATGGTGCAAAGGTGGAATGTTTCCTGATCTATTCTAATGTAAAAGCATTACTAAACTAATAATGTATATAACCCTTCCTCTGAGACTTTTATCTGTTTGTTTAATTATTATTGAATAATATATTAATAATTCTTCCTTTATAATAAAGACTTTCTTCATGATTCTTTATCTATATTATTGCCACCGGGGAATTACGGCGAGTCAGTCGCTTGACTATGGATAACCTTGCGTAACCTACGAATGGCTTAGTCGAAAGAGGGCGTTTAGATTTTGGCGATAGTTTGGGTTCATAGGTGCGTGAATCTATAATCTTCTTTGGTGATTATGCCTTTGGATGTGACTTCACTTAATTTTCTTCTTTCTTTTTATCTTTGTAAAGCTGTTTTTATACTTTTTCTTTAATCTTTTCAAGTACTTGATA